ATATATATATATATAGAGAGAGAGAGAGAGAGAGAGAGAGAGAGAGAGAGAGAGACTGTGTCTGTGAATATTAAAGAGAGAGAGAGAGAGACTGTGTCTGTGAATATTAAACTGCAAAAAGGCGATTTAAATACGAATGTTCTGCATGTTCATTTGATTACCAGAAAATACACAACACAGAGTTTGCGAAAAAAAATATTATTAATTATTATTATTTATTAATTTTAGATGGTTACATTTGGAAAAGCTGTGCTTCCTGCATAAACCTGCCCCTGTTGGTTTGGCAGTAGCTTGCTTGCCCTACACAGTTACCTTGTTTAATTTCTTAATTCAAATTATATATATTTTGTTCTATTTGTGTTAAGTTATTTATAATAAGTGAAGTTTACTGTTAAGTGCACTGATGTCAGACTCATTTTGAATAATAGTTTATTGTTAAATTGTTAAATACCCTGCCTCCACTACATAGGCCTATGTTTGTCACATCATTATAAGTGTTTGATCACCACATTTGAGTTGCAAAAAATGTGTTTATATATATACTGTATATTCTGTTTATGTAGGCTATATACTGTATTCTATATACAGTACCAGTCAAAAGTTTGGACACAAATGGGAAGCGTGTCAAAACTTTTGACTATACTGTACTATAATATAGCCTACACATAAAGAATATCGGCCGATATATCAGTATCTGTCTTTTTTTTACTCCCTAATATCGGTATCTGCATCGGCCCCCAAAAAAACCCATATCGGTCGGGCTCTAGTCATAACTGACTGGGCTTAGGTGTCCTATGCATATTTACAGCAGCGCAAGTTCTGCTCCCCTTGCGCATGTTGTAAGCTTGCATCGGTCTCTTAGCAACGTCTGACCCTGGAGGTGCGAGCAGGCTCTTCTGGCTCAATCTGATAACAGCACACACGTCACAAACCTCTGTGTAAACAAAGAACTGCGTGTAGCCAACGCTAACTTTTTAGCAGCCATACAGGCGCATGAGCTAAGCCTTTTACCTCAACTGCTAGCTGTTAGCATCTGTGATAGTGAGTGTAAAATGTAACTTTCATACCACTCCTCTTTCTCTCTCCCCCTCACTCCTGGTTTCACTTACTGTTTGTGCCATCACATTCTGTTTAGATTCAATCAGGTCGGTCCTTCCCCACATACTTTTGTTTTATTTGTGTTATTTTTATTTTGACTTTATTCTACCTGTCTTTGATTTTATTTAATTACAAACCCAATTCCAAAAAAGTTGGGACACTGTACAAATTGTGAGTAAAAAAGGAATGGAATAATTTGCAAATCTCATAAACTTATATTTTATTCACAATAGAATATAGATAACATATCAAATGTTGAAAGTGAGACATTTTGAAATGTCATGCCAAATATTGGCTCATTTTGGATTTCATGAGAGCTACACATTCCAAAAAAGT